TTGGATTGACCAGTGCAATAGGTCGACTTCTTCTGATAAAAAAGGTACATTGCATTCATCGCAAATTGACTGAGTTGCATTGGTGTACGACGATGTTATGAATAGACATTACCGATTTCCTTTAAAAGCACAATTATCTTGAGACGTTTCTTAGTTATCTATTGGTCTTATTACAATGCAAAGTATTCAGTACAATAGCTCGGAGTCTCCTCTATTACGACAATATATGAAACCTGGCACTCGCCTTAAAAGCATGCTTACAACATAGATGCTTGCTTTGCATTGGTATTAGTCGACGCAGTGATTTGTTTCTTTGGTATATGAACTCAACATTTTTTTTAATAAAGCACCAATTTTTGAGGTAGTCCCAACCTACCCATTTGTCCCATTCCGCTCCGGATTCGCCAATATGCAAAAGCTTGTAGATTCCATCTTCTACGAATTGACTCGGTAAAATATATATTACGAGCATGTTCAAGATCGTGGCATTCAAGAACAAAATTCATTGCAAGCTTTACAAAATGGATCATTGTCTCCTGTTTAAAGGTAAAACTGTGTATTTTAGTATGTTTTATTCTATATCTAAGAAGAACAACTGGATTATGGCGGTTAAGGAGAGTTAGTAATGTTGATTTTTCAAGTTTGGGAATGTTAATACAGCTTTGTCCCAATTTGGTTTCCATTCGGAAGAAATATATTTATTTACCGAGGATTAAAAATGTACTGGATGAGAATTTCAGACTTCCTTATCAGAAGCATCAACATTTTCATTTCCTCGTATTTCTACATGGATCCAACATGATTTGACTAGTTTTTAAAATATCATGAAATCGCAAAAGGAGTTTCTTTTTACTTTCGATTTTTACTTAATGGAACGGACAATGAATCTGAAGAATTAATGACCATTATGCTGTGAAAATATATTACAATTGCTAAATAAGTAAATGACTTTCATTTCTGCAGTAAATATAGATGCATTATCAGGTAGCCTTAGTCCAGATGTAAAATGATTTTCAATGACGCCTTTATCTACTGTGTAAAAAAATAGAAAAAATAAAAGTCCCTAAAGAAAGCCCAACACGGCAACATTGAAAATGTTGCAGACTCGGTTTGATTGAACTGGTACAATTTTGAATTTTTAAACATCCGCAGATGTGTTGCATATGGCGGTTATCATGGAACCTTCAATGTGACACAGTATGGTCCCTGCAACATTTTAATATTGACGTGTTGAGCTTTCTTTATGGATTCTTATTTTCTCTATATTTCCAGTAGTCCGGGTCTCCTTTGTACGACATTATAAGGCGCAAAAGAACTGATCAACGAACGCATTCTATTACAAAGAACCACCGACAAGCAAGGAAATTCATTGCACAAATTCAGCAATTTAATAATTAAACAAAAAAGGAGTTTCATTGGGAAACGTCGTGTTTGCCAATTTAGGATACATAGAGATTACTGAAGCATTTGGAGTTATTCTCCAATGATTGTCACTTACTCCTTAATTCTATTGGGTAATAACAATCTTTATAAACATGTACAACTTACGAATAACATATGTTGCATGAATGAAACAGAAATGAAGATTTTAATAGAATTGAGAGTTTTTGTCAGTTTTGTTTCTTCTGGTACGCAATCAATACTCAGTAAGTTTGCACGCATGCAATATAAACAATTTGAATACTGCAATTTCATATTGCGTTTGATTGATTAAGCGTATTTGTTGAAGTTGTGTGTATCATAAATAATGTTAGACAACGGCTAAGCGGACCTCCCTTTTATCTTGTATGGTACGTCTACAGTCACATGATCTGAATTATATAACTTATTAAAACACGTACGGTACGTGTACCTGAATAAATAAAGGTGTTCTTTAGGACTTTTTTAATTATCACAGAGATATAAATTATGAAACGAAAGATCAATCGTTTTGTCTATCCCGGCATATATTCAGTGGTTTATGAGCTTCTTTTCGTTCAGCATATAAGTTATAGAAAAAGGAAACCGGGTAAATAAAGAAAAACATTTCACGACTTTACTGTGTTTGACTTTCTATCTGAATATTTTTCTTTTAACTTGGGTGATACCTGTTTAATCATCCCTAGGATATGTTACCTGCTTTTTACGTTTGTCTTTTGAAAAATGATTTGACATGCAGGTTTCATAATTTCTTTTTTTCAAAATTCAATTTTATATTGTTCCGCCCATTGATTTCTCGTTTTTGACACACCCATAATTTGAAGTTTAAGGACGTGTCAATCTCAAGTTTCCAAAGACATGATAACCGTCGTCAGAAAACATATGTGGATGTTTATTGTTTCAGGATTTAGGAATAATATATTGTACTCATACTTGGTATATAGCAAGCTTATGGAAGAACTCGCTTGCAATTGCTTTTGGACCAATATGTTTACGATCAATATCACTGTGACTTAAAGATCCTGTAACACTTTTTTCATGGTTTAATTTCATAAAGATGATGCTGAAATTAAGATTTGTCAATATTGAAAAATAAGCATTATTTATAAAAAAATATTACCGAATTTAACATTTCATGTAAATAAAGGAGGGTAGTTAGAAATTTATTTTCTATAAATGCTAAGTCCAATTTTCCAATAAGAAATGAATACATATAATTTATTGATTAAATATGTGCACAAATATTTGCAGTACACATTTTACATATTTTTCTATGTTTGATAATTGTTTTATTTGCATTATTATATACATGTACATATATATTTTTTGCAAGTGTGGTATACACACAGTAACAATATTAATCACAAAACATACTTTGAAAAAGAAAAATTGTTTCCTGTCAATTTGAATGGAACACTAGCGTTGTAATGAGAATTGGCTAAGGAATGTTTGTATTATTGTTATTATACTTCATACATAGGTGTATAATAAGAAAAACACGTCAAGTTCAATGTTGGCTTAGGACTCTTATTAATTTTACCATTTTTCTCCTTGTTTTTTTTTAAATTAAAAGTTTTCATTTTTGGGACACCGATGGACGGTCATTTAACGTCAAACAATACAGGTCGAGTTCGAAATTGGCTTCAGACCACTAATTCTACCCATAATTATTGCTCCTTCTGGTCTTCGTTTTTCAATGATAATTTCATTCTTTACAAAAATAATGGTAATTGTTCGCTTATATTTTTTACAAGGCGATTAAGTACAATCATTATCTGTACACAGATCAAACATCAGTAAAGTATAAAGTATAGCTCGAATAATTATTTGGCTTCAAACGAATAACTTTTGAAAAAGTCAATAGATTTATAATAGATTCCCCAGATATATGCATATCCATTCCTTTGTCTATCGGCAAGCATTTAAACAACAATAAGGGTTATATGCCATATATATACGATATGAGGTTCATACGCGATATAACGTGGTAGAGTGCAAAACACAGTTGTCTGTGGGATTGAAAGATATAAAATATTACCCCCAAAACGTCAACACAGTGCGAACGACGTCAGTTCGACTGTCTGTTACAATCGTGTCCGAAGAATAAAAAAATAAGAAACATAATGACAGAATTTTGGTAAAACTTCACTCGGTGATAGAGAACAACGGCATCAAGAACGATGAAATTTTTATAATAAGTTGTAGAATGTTCTTCCTGTGGTTAATGATACTTATCTTAAGTATAATTCCCAATTTGTTTAGTTCCGGCTATTGTAATCCCGTTTAGGGTACACACTTTCTATTACTTGGGAACCAGATGCCGCTTTTCAAAGAATTGCACGGAAGTGTCACATTGAAGGTTCCATGATAACAATATAAACAAATCTACGGATATTTATATAAATTCAAAATATATCCATTTCATGTTTTATGTTGAATTCTGCTTAAGCCGGTGCAAGATGGCCTGGACGGTAGATTGCACTTGTCAGTACCGTTCATGAACAGACTCAATCAAACCGAGCCTGTAACACTGTCAATTTTGCCTTTTTGACTATTTTCTATGTTTGGAAACTAGATCACTGAGCCTAAATATAGGAAAACATAGTCACAACTCTTGAGGCTGTTGTTTCGGTTAAAAGATCTTTCAAATTGTTCAAAAATCTGTTCAGATTTTTTCTAGCTTAAGTTCGAATATTGGTCATCTGGGGTCAAAAAAAGGTCACACAGTGCAAATATGGAAACCTTTGCTAAGACAGTAAGAGACCAAAAATCTTCATAAGTTTTCAGAAAAGTTGCATAAAAATCGGAAAAAAGTAATCTCTCGGAAGCATTAATCACAACAAAATTACAAGAGGATTGCAGACTCGGTAAAGATGATATGTAGATTAAGTTCGAGCATTGGTCAAGTTTTAAATAATAAAATAAAAAACATTAAAATTGTTAATTTGTTAGCATTGGTCAAGTTTTAAATAATAAAATAAAAAAGTAAGAACATTAAAATTGTTAATTATTTCACAATACCAAGTACGTGTATAGTAAATGTTTAAATGATGAACAAGACTTCAAATGTTTTGTAAAATTGTATTTGACGGACAAAAGCGTGTTGAAATCTTTTAAAATGACATAAAACATATACTCATGAAATGTAAGCTGTAAATTCAACAATTAATAATCTGACAATAATCAAAACCATCAAGGTAATTTATTTAATATAGAATTTAATTTGTTAAAATACATGGCGTATATCATTTATTAAATAACGATTGTTTATATATCTGTTGATACAAAAATAAAATATATTTAAATTTAAAAACACTTCGCATAAACTTCTAATTTAACAAATGAAAGATAAATTCAATCTGCCCGCTCAAACATAAAATTTGTATCTCAGTTTATGCATGAAGCATTGTTTCACAGTTATTTGCAGAAGTACAGCCATCCGATACAGCGCCGATACGAGATTTTAATGCGACAACACCAGGATACGTAAAAGTATTGTATTGTCTTATTTTTGTTTGGTCGAGATTTTGCGTTTGAAAGGCACTGTTGTCGCTCTGTTTTTATCGTTTCGTCTTAAAGTTACGACGAAACGATAAAAACAGAGGGACAATAAGAGAATTTATATTTATGTTCTTATTTCGTTCTTTCGTATTGTCGCCAACGGCGACAAGACGAAGTAACGACGTAGCAGAAATTAGCAACCATAGTATTGTGATTATAACCAGAACTTTTTTCATATTATGAAGATTGGAAATTTTTACAGTCCATTTGCAGTATTAGTATAATTTTCAATTAAACAATAACACAGGTAGAACAGTTTGACCGTCATCAAAAAAATATATTCCTATTTATACATATTTTGTATTTAAAAGCTCTATTTTATATTTCTTTAAATAAATGAAATAGAATATTGCCTTTTTGAAATTTTGTAAGATTTATTTTGGCTACATTAAATGTACAGTGTCGTTAATTTTTTAATTTTGTTACATTATTAGAGCGATTTTGCTTTGAAGCAACATTCACTATTTTGCATTCAAAGGCGTCGTATGATACTTCAGACACGCGAATCTTAGCATCATGTTTGCATTGGAAAAAATGTTTTGGTTAGTTATTAATCTATGACACAAAGCATTTTTGATATTTCTATTCTACTCAAAAGTAAAACTATGCTAGACGATAATATAGATTATATTCATTTTTGTTTTTCAATTCATCTGATCTTGCTTTTTGAACATGTAAGATCTGAGTAAATACCCAGAGGAACGCGCCAAGTCATGTTGACGTCACTTGTGTGTTCATGCCTTCATACGATTGCACATCCTGTTGGTCTTTTTGCCCGCAAGTGAACAGTTTGCGATTGAATAGCATAAATATTAGAGGATTGCAGGCACTGTTAAGTGGGTATAAACAGCCAACTATCAGATGAGCTTTGAATCCAATTGTACCTGGGTTATAGATGGTTATTAACATTACTACGAAATATGGCGTCCAGCATATAAAGAAAGCTGAAAAGAAAAATACAAATGTTTATTAGTTACACTAAGAACATTTAAAGAGATTCTTATCTTTTTAAATACTACGTGGATTATTAATCATACTTGCACATATAAATCAGATTGTGTTCACAGCTCATTTAACATATATCAAAGAATATGAACATACTGAAATGAATAGTTGTATGTATACATGCTACTCTTATTAAGCAAAATGATAATTAAAAATATTAAAAATCAGCAGGAAAAGATTTTAACGCTATCGGATGATACATGATTTGATGAAGCAGATGCTTTGTTTACTTCACAGAATGATACATACCCAAACACACGACCATTGTCATTTTAATGCTCTTTATTTTTGCCCTTGGTAGAAGTCCTTTGCTTAATGATCTATCACCATGAAGTCGATCTAAATTGATAACATAACAAAATGAGTTTACACAAACACATATTTTACTTAACTAAAGCATGTCTTACTCCAGGGAATGAGTAAAATATTAATTTCTAGTCGTGTTAATTATGTTTTGTATTGTGAATAGTTATAGTACTTTCTGCTGAAGTATACATTTCTTGGAATAAAGTCAAGTATATCAATGAGTTAGATAAATGATCAAGTTTGATGCGTATGTCTATTTTAATAAAAGGCAGACTAATCTGAAGTATATTTACATGGGTTCAAATCCATAGTCTTTAACAGTAACTATATCGTAACAATTGTATATTCTTATGCAGAACTATCTTTAAATATATGTCATAACCAGTTGATATCTCTAATATCATCACTAACCGATACTTGGATATTCTTTATTTATCGAATAATGAATGATACTACATATATTTTACCACTGCTTTCACTGGTATCTATCTCTGATAATTTCAGTCTTGAACGCCATTTCAACCAGACTACGATACATATACCCACATAACACACTGTTATACCGATTGTTGGTAACACATATATTATTACTGCAACTATTAAACTATACGGCTGTAAAATACAAAACAAAGTAAAATAGTATTTTCATTGGGTTCAATCAATAATGATTATATTAATACAGCCAAATTTTTACTCTTGTCCGACCTTCTTGATAATGTTTATCATGCCCTTGTTGCATGATACAGATAATAATTACCTATAGTTTTGAATATCTAGACCAAAAACATAGTAATCTGCTTATCAACAAACATTCAAGGCGAATAAATATGCAAGAATGTGTGTAAAATTATTAAAATAAAATTTCAGATCTTTCTAGAAAAGGACATCGATTTTTTTCTTGCAAAAATTTAATTATATGCACTAGACACACCTTAAATTATTTACTAGTAATTGTGATGCCTAAATTTCCTTTAATGTGGTCTGATTCATTCTACATTTAGCCAATGCTTTTAGTGCTTTAATCCGAGTTGAAGAGGAAACGATATCGTTTTCTTCGGAATAACATTTTGTATGTGCGCGTGTGCGTGTGTTTTTTGATGCTTACAATACTCAAGGTCTTGTTCTTTGTATAAAATGTATTACGGTGTTTTTTTTCTGAACGGGTGTCAGATAAACCAAAGTGACCTTTGAAATAGGACCCATCACACTGTCTTGATCAACCTAGATATCTTGATATTTTATCCATAACAATGTTTATACGTAACATTTATTAATTAAATGATATCACTCAATATAACATGGAATATTTGTAAAGTTTGTATGTGTCTGCTTCCCACTCCGTACGTTTAGCCAAATTTATCATCGTAACGGAGTAAACAAAAAACATGATTACAACAATATAATTGACATATCTTTTGAATGATTTATCTCACAAGCACATACATGTATGTGAACAACAAGAAATTTAACAAACAACCAGTAATTTGCTCTTAAATTTATGCAATGTTGATATATTCCATTTTCCTACTCCGTTGCTGCCAATACACAAAAAATTCTCCGTTTCGCGTTTTAGTCATACCAAGACTCATCACGTGACCGTTATTTATAGACTGGACGTTCAGATTTGCAAACTGACAGCGTTTAAACGCTTTTCCCACGAAACTGGAGAAAAAATATATTTCAAACAAATTGCCAAGCCAGATAAAACATATCAATGTATCACTTATTCTGTTTAAATGTCTCTAACACGCAGGTAATAAAATATCGGTTCGTGAAAATTTACTTTTTTGTGACAGATAATGTTATTGGAGCACCTTTTACATACAGTTAAATAATAGATGTATTACCTTCCACCAGCTTTCAGGCATGTGTAAATTACAAGAACCTTTTTGTTCATACATATCAGCAGCATCCGGTTTTGCATTGATTCCTCGACTGTAGAGTATGAAAAAGCTTGATCCCAACAAACTTAAAAGCCATGCCCCAAATACCATACCTTTGTCAAGATACCTGCATGCACCTACAAAGATTGATTCGTACGTATATTTTATATAGTTTGATATGGTTAACATTCCAGTTCTGCAAATATTTGTTTCATAAAGTAAGTAGTTATAAAACTTTATATTAACTTGATATTGATCCTAATTATCAAAACAGTATCCACATTCATTGTTTTATCTTGAAATCCATCTACATTTATAGAAACTCGTGTTGGTCTGGTGAGCTATTGATTATTGATGTTCAATGACATAATGAATTGAAAAAACAATCAATTTAAAATTTAAAGCAAATAAGACATTCTTTCAGATCACTCACAATTTACACATTAATTGGCATATTGTCACTACGATATAGATATTCCAAAATCAGACAAAACAGAGTTATGAAAGGGATAACCAGTTGAAGACAAAATTGTTTTCGTCTTCATTTCATTCGCCGACTCTCAATAAAAGACACATTAAAGCCTCTAAACTAAAAGTGAGTTTTTCTCTGAAGAAAGGACAAACCTTGTTCTGTTTTTTAAATAATAGGTAAGGAGCAAGTAATATCCTTATGATATGACTAAAATAATTAATGTTAAATAAATTTTATAAATGTTAATAAAATATCAAAACGTAAACATAGTAGTTATTTTGTCTTGTAAACAAATACCTATATGACTATGGCTAATGGATAAATGAATCAAAATTTGGTTCGGAATATGCCAGCGAGTTACAAGGTGTAAGATAATGTGCAATTTAAAAGACTTTTAAATTAATTAAAATAACGACATTTTATGTTTCATGTGCTTTTAATAAGATATTTAGTGAAACATATCTGAAGAAATATCGACCTTATCAGTGTTATCACAGTTTTCAAATATGTTATCTAATTGTAATTTACATTTATAATACATGCATATATCCAAAAGCATTTGATTACATTTACAAATGTTTCTTAATTCTTAAATGTGCCATAAAATAAAATAAATCAACTTGATCTGTGCTTAGAAGCCTGTTATGCCAAAACATTTTTATTTTTAGTTTCTTTTATTATTCTAAAAATATTACTAATCGGCCAATTACCTGAAGCATCATTCGCATTAGCTGCTTTTTGGCAAGTTGTACAGTTACAAATGTTTATTATTTTGTGTGGAAGTCAGAATACTGCTTTGTTTACATTATACTACATTTATTACGAATATTAGCACATTTACCGACACTATCTTCAGATAATATGCATCTAACATGCTCTTAAACCATTATTTAAAACGCAATAAGAATGATATTATTTTTCATTTCAAAAACTCTGGATTAATTCGGAAGTATTAATCACAACAATATAACATGAAAATTGCAGACTCGGTTTGATTGAGTCTGCATATGAGGGATAATGAAAAGTCCCTTATGTGGAGACGGGAAATTTATTCCCTTCTGTTGAAAATGTGCCTTTAAGTCAGTGATCGAGGCAAGGACAGTTTTGACCAGCTTCTTCCCTTATGCTCACTTGCATCGAGATTGAAGCAAGCGGTGATTAAAATATCAAAAGGAATATAGAAATGTGTCAGTTAATAAATATTATTTAATGATGATTAGATCTGAGTTATCATTACTTGAGTGTGTCTGTAAATGTCGAATAATGATTATTCAAAAATACATGTATGTATATATTGATAAAGTAAGAAACTAAATCAAATGAAAAGAAAACATACCTATTCTAACAACATTCAGTGGATATTTGATTGCCAGAAATCTGTCTAAACTCATACCGATCAGAAGATTATTGGAAGCAATAAGAGACATTGGTGAAATAAAACGAAATAGTCTACACAAAAAGTCACCACCATACCATTCATTGTGCATTGCACTATGTATACCATCTCCAAGAACACTGCAGAAACCCACAAGAAAATCTGGAATTTGATAATCATAACCAATATTCAATAAGGTGTGAAAAGACTTTTATTTAAGTTTGATTTTTACTCTCTTTTTTCATTAATAGTTCCTAAATGCATGTTAGATTTAACTATTGTCATTTTTTTTTCTGTAATGAATAATTACATTTTAAATTAATTAAAGACCCTGTATGATGTGACCAAAGTGGTTAACCACACTAAATGAAATTATATATAAGTACATAATTATGCACATAAAAACAATTTTCAAACATCGAAAAATATGTTAAATATGTACTGCAAATATTTATGCATATTATATGTAATCATTGAAATATATGCATTCAACTATTATTGTAAAGTTTGACTTAAACTTTATAGAAAATAAAGTTTTTATTACCTCCGTTTATTTACATAAAATGTTAAATTCGGTAATATCATATAAATAATGCTTTTTGGAACCTACAATATTGATAAATCTTAATTTGAGCATCATACGTATTTATGAAATAAAACCATAAAAAATGTGTTATAGGATCTTTAAAGTATCAAATTGAATAAATCATATACATATAGTAATCGTTTCTGTATAAATGTGTAAAGACTGTTCAAAATCTCTAAAATATATTATTCTAAATCGTTTATCTTGATTTGCTTAATGTAGGACATCATAACCACTACATGTTCACGGTTGATTTGTTAATTATTTTCTTTTTAGGAAAAGGGCATACACTCAATAAATACAAAGCTCAACATCGGTTGTTGGATTATAAACATAGATAGTTAGATAGACAGATAGGCGGAAAGATGGATGGATGGATGGATGGAACCGAGGCTAGACATTCTTTAACGCGAGTTTTTAAATGTAACGTAAGTTTTAATCTTTGAGTGAATGTGTGTTTTGTGAATATGCAAATTATGATTTTAGATTATAGATTTCAAGCAAGTTTTTGTCTTTTGATAAAATATTGCTACGGATATGTTTATGTAAATAATTTTACAGCTGGATGTATTTATGATATTTAATTAGTGTTAGTTTAATACTGAATTTATTGAACAAGTTGAATAAAAGTATATTGTGCGAGCCTATGGCAACCATGGTATTACTTTTTCAACGGGTTCAATAAATTCAGTTATGACCTTATTCTATATATAAAGACCGTTTGAAGTGAAAAAGAGCCATGGTTCATTGACGCGCCTACAGAATAACGCTGACATTTCGTGTGACTTAACGCTATGTGTGTATAGCGCTAATGATGACACGTCAAAATATATGCATGACCGTGCAATACCATGTTAACAGAGTATCAAACGCGGCTCAGGTATGTGAAAAAAATGTTATGTTTGATAAGGTACATGTGCTAAATTCAGATAATGAATAACGAGAAATTCTTTAAAAGATGAAAAGACAATTGCAACACATGTTTTAAATATTTATGTGTATCTTAGATTAATTTGTTAAAGTTACATAATGTATTTTCTTACCTGCTATTGCTAAATGCAGTACAAAATAGAAGAGACGACTCTTTTTCTGTTTTCTAAAGACGAGGATGAATATCACAAATCCATTCAGACAAACTATGATTGTGAACAAAAGTAAGGAAATGGTAGCAGCAGCTTCTTCATATGGCTGAAATATACCAAAAATGTTTTCTTTTGGGGTTTTTTTCAGTTTAAGTTGAACACTTTATGAACAAATTTATAATTTATTGCAACAAATACATGTAAAATATTATACAAATCCCGAGTTTATTACAAAAAGCAAATAGTTAGACAACAAGTTCTTGCAATATCACATTAAATTAAATTAGTACACAGCAGCTTGGATGCAGAGTATTATATACATATAATTTGTACAAAAGGTTCTTAACTCTTTTGTTTTTCAAATGGAAAAATGAGTCAGACGATGATAGGGCAAATTTTCATTGTAATACGTTCCAAACTGACTTTGATTTCCTATATAAAAAGTTCGAAATTCCAATTGCATGGAGGGTCGGGCGTGCTTTTGTTCAGTACGGTCACAATAAACGTTGTGAATGAATAAGTTTTTGTATTGGAGTGAAAATAAGATAAGTCTAAATTTTATTCAGATAAGGAATTATGCAATAATAAGACTCTGTTATGCATAATGCATAATGCTTGTTTTAAACCTTATTTATCATAAATCTTCAGCAATATTTATTTCACAATGCAGCAAGCTGGGACACTAATAGCTTCTCAAAGTACATAGTTGTAGTGTAAGTACACATACTTGAAAAAGAAACACAAACAACAAACTTTTTTAGTTTTAAACATATATGAGCCGCGTCACGACAAAACCAACGTTATGCGTTTGCGACCAGCATGGATCCTGACCAGCCTTTGCATCCCCGCAGTCTGATCAGGATCCATGTTGTTCTCTATCAGTTTCCCAACTTGTTATATGGTTTGTAAGCGAACAGCATGGATTCTGATCAGACTGTACGGATGTGCAGGCTGGTCTGGATACATGCTGATCGCAAACGCACTATGTTGGTTTCGTCGTGACGCGGCTCATATTTTGGTTACTATTAAGACGTTATAATATTTTTATAGCAATTTTTATATTTAAAATGAGTTTAACGAACTTGTAGTCTTAGTTACTTTGATATTCAACCAAAGTACCTTTAATTGAGCGTGTTTTTATGGACAAGAAGCATTTTATATTTTTATATTTTTAATTCGGGAATCATGACTTAAAGAACATGCAAACGTGACTTTAATGATCAAATACACACGGACAGGTAGGTATTCATAAACACATTTTAAAGTTTTCCATAAATAATTTGCTTTATTGTTCTTGTCTGTTTTTAAACTGAACCTTAAGTTCACTGTTAATAGACTGGGGTGAAAACGAACATCTGTTAACTGAAAGCCATGCTATTTCGAAAAAATGTCATTATGCGTATAAATTGAAAGATAATTACTCATGATATTTTGAGTTGTTTGAAATTAATTACAGAAATACATTTGAATACATTTTATGATTCTTCTTCTTTGCCCCTGTGCCAAGAAAGAGCAGATAAAACGACTTTATAAACACACTTGTGTAGGTAGACACAGAGATCCTTAATGATTTAATCTCAAACAAATTCACCTTACTTACTTTACTGACAATCTGGCTACACAAAATCTTTGTTTTCTCAAATCAATTTGACTCGAAATCAAAATTTGCAGATCGAGTTTTAAAGGTTAAAGGATCGTTTACATATGTTTTCTATTTTGCGGCATTCATTTAGTAATGAAACAATTTAATGTCATAATCATTCAAACGATGTGTTATTAAACATATTATATTCTAATGTGTTAAGCCTTTGGTTTATTTGATACATTATCTGCATTCAATTGCTGTTCTTTTTTTCTTTATTGATTTTATGAATAAAATATGAGTTCGGATATTGCATGGTATTGACGACATAAGGAATCGTATAACTTTGAAGCATTAATCAAATGGTCGTAAGTAGTCATTTGAGCGTGTATTTTGATCGCTGTTGTATTTTTATCTAAAATGTCATACTTCCATAATTCAATTGATAGCACATTTGTTTATACATCTGTCATTTTTTTCAGTCACGTTTGAGAAAAGCTCATTAATAAATCAAATAGTTATTGGTTTGAACAAATGAATTTTCGAAAGCTTAATGCTTTATTATTTTCAATATTTCCACACTGTTTCAGTAATTATTTTTAATTAAAACAGTTCAGCATTGCATTTAAAATTATTTATAGAGTTTGACACAATAGAAAACAATAAAGGTCACATTGGTTCAGCAAAATAGTCACTATAAACAGTAAATATTTTTCAAATAATTGCGAAGGTACTTGGGATAAACATGTTTATGATGATTGATAATTCATTAAAAAGCATTTTTAATTAAGAGCCAAAATAGATATATTTGCACTTTATTGTATCACGCTGTGGGAATAGTGATAGTTGAATATCTAAGACAATATTTGCTAAAAACAATCTTTTACTTCTCAAACACATGCAAGCGTATACTTTTGTTGTTGTTGTGGTGGTGGTGGTGGTGGTGTGTGTTTTATTATTTTTGTTATTCTTTTTTAAAAATAATATATAATAAATTATACATGTATTCTTCTTTAATTTTATTTATTTCATTGTTTATACTAATTAAATTCTGAGCACGTGTCAACTCAATTATTTCGTGTAGAAATTTTACGTTTGAAATACTCTTCTATCAAATTACGGTATCATTATTATAGGCACAAGTAGCACTTGCTTAGTTTTAGTCATCCCATATGAATGAAGAATTTCAATGAAAATAAATTCCTAAATGGTAGAAACACTAATCGAGCTGGACCGTTGTCTTCTTTATAATTAATCGTAATATTATTTACATTTATTATTTGTGAGCCAAAGAATTTTAATGTATACTGTAAAATCAGTATTATTTTAAGTATTTGTTTATTACTCTGATAGTGTCTAGGTATTTATTAGCATATTATTGATAAACATCAATGGTACGTGTTCCCCTTTTCGAAGGGAGGGGGGGGGTATTTATAAATAACTTCTTGACATTATCCCTTACTGCAGACTATATAAGTTTGTAAATGTTTTAAAATCTGAAGCAGTCGTACTTGAAGGTATTTTAAAGGATTGCTTGTGTGCTTATTTGTTGCTCATTTAATTGATTTTGTCGAAATTTGAATCCTTACTGTCTCTTATAAATTATAAATAAACGAAATATACCGTTTCATCCTAATTCATCAATGTTTAGCTAAAAGAATACTTGTTCAACTAAAACAAAGAATACTGGAAGCTAATGAACATAACTATCTTAAAGGTATAATTCTTTCGATGGACTGTATGTTGACTTAACACATCAGTAATTTTTAAAACTTGAAAAAATAATGGTCATGATATGTTAAGATAAATATGTCAAAAATTGAAAATAAACACTTTTTATTTCTTTTCTCTGACCATTCGTGGAATATATAGATGTTGTTTCATGCAATTGCACAAAGTGCGAAACTTATGAGATTAATAAAACTTTTTTTAAATGCACGTTGTATGTAAATCCTGTGTTAAATGGATTCAGAACTTAATAGCTTTTTTAAGCAAAGTAAATCAATGATATTCGAAGCAGTTAATTTGATAAGATGTATTTATAAAACAATAGTCTCAGAATATGTAAAGTGCTTGATAATTAAGAATTCTGTGTCATTTAATCATTTTGCAATGTTACATGAAAATATCCAACATTCATGTTTCGACATAAAAAGGTCTCTTATATATACAAATGAGCACGATTATCGTGAGTAATAAAAACAGAAGCAGACATAAGAACTACATGTAGATAAGCTGCAGGATTACGTACTTGCCTGATAAAATGTTTCAAAGAAATAACGTAAGAAGCCTATATTTTGATAACATCTTCTTGATCGTCGGCCAAACAGTTAAGCTTGGTAAAATTTGAAAACAAATTTTAGAAAAGTATGATCATACCAACAAACATACACAATAACACTGTAGTTTTTTTGTAAATACTCTTTCCAGAGAAAATAAATAAATAAAAAAAACTATTTCATAACATCAATTCCTTTATTCTAGATTTTAGAAAAGTTGCATAGATGCTTTTCAATACTAATATACTATTTTTTGGATAAAATAAGGTTGTCTTTCCTATTTAATTGTATTAAATATTCCAATTATGCACATATTTTAGGTTTGTAATTACAACATTGTCGTTAACGTAAAAATGTCCTAGTATGATTAATTTAAATTTACATTATTGACATGGGTTAAGTTTTTCTTCCTAATGATCCTGTATGCTTTGTGATTCATATTTCACTGTGTGTATAAAACACTTGCAAAATAGTTATATATGTACATGTATTTATTTTATGCTTTTCAGTGGATTACTGATTTATCCGTGAAAATTATATTTGATAATTTCACAGTGAAAATTATCAAAATATAATTTCACTTTTTTCAATGACGAAACTACTTTTTTAAGATTTTCCCCATGTGGTACCTCAATTCTATTTTTACTGACAATTCTGACAATATCAGGCTGTTAAAAAAATAGCAAAGCTGAAATAGATAAATAACATAATTGTCAAAAGTAAAATAAAGAGAGAAAACTTACTTCTATTCCTTCAAATTCCAATCACAAAATTTCGTCTCTAAATTTTTTTGTTTCGTTTTTACAGTCTGAAAAATACATTCCTTCCCCATGCAAAACTGCTCTTGATGACATTTGGGCATATTAAAGTATCCTACGAGCAATAACTGCCGTATGCTTTATGAAAAATTGAAAAGCATTGACAGCTATCACTCGTAAAATAAGTAAATCAACCCAGCGTTCCTTACAATGCCTTAGCAAGCTTCCAAGTTTTCCATTTTCCTAGCTCATTTTCTGAATGTTTTCACTTCTGTCAACACTTATTTTTAGTCTGTTACAATCCTCAAATAAGTTTTCTTTCTTTTAAAAAGGTGTATGACTAACAAATCCAAATTATATCCTTCTGTATCTTACACAATTATTTTCCTCCCATGACATACACGACTTTAAAAAATGGCTGCCGTTTACATTTTACAAAGCCAGGTCTAATATAAATTCGCAGTAAGTAACAGAAATATGGATGGATGGTTGGACTTTTTCTCCTACAAGAATTGTTTGTTTTTATTATTAAAACAAGCGATCATTCATATTTTTTAATAAAATGAATAAATATCACATTCATTTAACCTCCATTGGCGGACTTATTTTTCAGCTCAAGACTTCTTGTTTTTAATGAGAAATTCCCTCTAAATGGGGCTCTCAATGGGGGGAACAGATTTTAATATCAACGTTAAAATTATGGAAATTTCGTTTTAACTTGTTTTAAAGCATAAAATAAAAAGAAAATTTGTCTGTTTGTTGTGTAAGATGTAATTTTATTTCATCTCGTGAACTTTAAAAACAGTATTCTCACTCGTGGCTACGCCACTCGTGAGAATACTGTTTTTAAAGCCCACTCGATGAAATAAAATTTCATCTTACACACAAACAAACAAATATCCTCTATATAATTATGCAAATAAAATAATGTTCAAACATCGAAGAATATGTTAAATGTATACTGCAAATATTTGTGCACATTATATTTAATAAATTAGATGCATTCATTTCTTATTGGAAATTTGACGAAGAATTCGTAGAAAATAAATTTCTAATTACCTCCCTTTATTTACATGAAATGTTAAATTGGGTAATATCTTTATAAATAATGCTTATTGGAATTTAAAATATTGACAAATCTTAATTTGAGCATCATATTTATGAAATAAAACCATGAAAAAAGTGTGTTACAGGAAATTATGTGATCTTGAATTGTGATTCAAAGACATTATTTATATGATTTTATTGATGAAGGATACGAATAAATTACGAAATAATATCGGTTTCATCGGTGTATATCGACCATTTACCACCGGTTTAGAGTGCGTAGAAATCAACCCTCGATAAGATAAGAATCGCATATGCATGTAGTCCATAGCAAGTGTTTATTGCGAGATTTTCACCGTTTTTTTCTTCTCCTTTGCGTAAAGTGACACGATACGACAAGTGTTAGAATCTTTAATAAACGGGGTAACCCAGATTGGGCTTTAACTTCTTTTTCATTGTTTCAAAATATTAAAAGTACAAAAGCTCCAAAAGATAGCAAACGTGGATTGAATTGAATTTAGTTTTTTGTTGAATGCGTTTCATTTGTGACCCTTAATAATTATCTTTCAACTAAAAAGTATAAAAGAAATGTAACAAATAACCGTTTTTGTTACAAACTAGAGTCAAGTGTCCAGTCTTAATTTTTTCTAAATGGTTAACTTTAGAAACAAGTTTTGATATATTTCATCTAATGTTTTTCCACTTTGAACCAGTCCATTTTCTCTATGTTGCATTTCTTTAAATAATTTTTTACACATTCTTTTCAGTAAATTTATCTTGATTTAGATTCAAATACATAAGAATTATGCAATTTCATATGATATAAGGTTTTTTATGCTCCTACCTCAAATGACGATATATCCACTGCATTTTTACTTTCTGTTCCATTTACAGAACTATTATTTTCCATTTTAATAAAAACAAATAGTCCAAGTTCATGAAAATATTAATGAAAACATCTCGTAGGTATTGTATGCAGCAGAAATGTAACAGACGTTAGAAGAAGTTGAAAGTTTTGATATAAATTCGGTTAATGCGGTGAATATTCTGTAGGTAAAACATACGTTTTAATACTCCGCCTTCATTCGGTATTTCCCACACTGTTGGTAGTAATTCTAGAGGCTTTACTTCAAGCTGTTATAATGGCATGGTAAATATGGGGATCTGTCTTTGCATGAAATACTGTGTACTTCTATTGTACGCTTCCTCATAGATTCATGTTCAAACGAAGCTCTTAGCATTGCAATTTTTATACCTAAAAAACACTTAAGAATCTAATCTTAAATTTTTCATTGATGAAAATTAATAATTAATTAATAATTAATAATTCCTTTTAGATTATAAAGATTTTTGAGTCTTTTTACGTTCAACGCATTTTAATTATTTATTGTTGTTTTGAATTTATCTTAAAAGAACCAATGTCCACCAATAACATAAAACGTTTCTCAACTGAGATTATTCCTGAACGTTAAGGAAATACTTGCGTGAATCATTTAGCAAATGTATAACAGATCTCAGCTTATCTTTACAGCCAATTTAACATTACTTATTTACTTTATTCCCGACAGGTATGAGTTTAAGTACTTAAACAACTAGTTAAATGCTGAGGAAAGTTATTTAGAATTATAAAAAAGTCTTGATTTACTCTACAGTTGTTTAAAAATACTCTCTTTAAAGACAAAACATACTTTAATCTAGCACGAAACAAGCTTTATTTTTAACAGGATTTTCATAAACGTTCTAGGCGACAAGTCATGAATTAAAGCTTTGAAAAACACAAACGTATGTATCATGTCATAAAAATATGGTTCTTATAGAAAATGATTGTCATATACATGCTCACATTGAAGTAATAATTTCACCTGTTAGTTTATTGAACTTTTTGGTTGGGTATTAGCGTTTTCCTTAACTTTCTGTAACAGTATGAATAATACCCCGTTCAGACAAAAGAAAAAGTTATTATTGTTCATTATAGTATTGATGAATTGTTCGTATGAATAAACCATATAAAAAGGCCTTTATTATGTCTACCGAACATATCCTTGATATTTTATTCATTAAATAAGGCTACGTGGTGAATAGATAACTTTCTTTGAGAAGAATAATCGATTGAAAATATTTTTATATTTTTATTATTTAAAGGTTACTTGATGCTGAATGATAAACGATTATTGTATTTATTAACAATTTAAATATTAACAAAGAGCTGAACTTAATTTGTTTATATTGAAGCAAATATGTCTATAACAAAGATTTTTTTTCAAACTTTCAAATTCTTCTGTCATGAAACTGAGCATATCTAAGCTAAATACTATTCCTATTCTAAAACATGCTTTGTGAAGCTGACGCTGAATCTAATACATTTCTTTCGTTTCCGAATTGAAAAATAAGCAAAGTTTCCTATCTTATTATCCTGTCATTTTTTTAATCATGGATGACCATTTTGTATTTATTTCAGCCTTGCTCTCACGTCGATGGTACTCTCATATATAATATAAATAAATGTTCCTTTATGAGCAAAGGTGTAGTTTTTCACCTGATTTTCTTCTCAAAGCGTCTATCATCTCTTTCATTGACATTCAATTGTTTGTAGCTTCCTGTTCAAATATCTGGCAACATCTGTTATTGATTTTCTTTTAAATGATATGTTATAAAGTCATAGCTTAATTTATTTTTGTGTGAAAGATAAATTAAACAAAATATACTAATCAAATTATAATCGCTAAAATCCGATTCTTTCTCAACGGTTTGTTTGTTTGGATTTTACGGCACGTCAACACATAAATGGCCATATCGTGCCGAATGCTATAATAGGCTTAAAATATTATGTAAAACTTTAAAAATGATAATAGCCGAATGCTATAATAGGCTTAAAATAGTATGTAAAACTTTGTAAATGATAATAAAAAAGAGCCAATTAGATCCTTGAATACAAGTTTATCTCTTTCAAATAATCGATAATGTTTTTTATGGAGTTCTTTGAGTGAATTTACATTATAAAATATATTACGGGCCGGTGAAAAATCATGACATTCCAGAAGAAAATGCTTGACTGTCACAGTAAAATTTTCATTGCAAGCTACACAGAAAGGGACATTGTCATTTGTAAGGAGATAAGAATGGGTAACTTTCTCAACGGTTATGCAATGGAAAAGAAAATAGCATTTAATTTATCATTTGCACGATTTTAAGAAGTTGAAGTGAGAGTTTAAAAATATTGACTTTAAAGACGTCGCTAAAACAATTTAATGTTTTTAAATGAAAGAATTAGTGATTTTTATTGAAGTCAAATTTCTTCTTTGTATAAATGTTGCTACTTTATGAACAATAATTTCATATTCAGTGCTACTTTCTTCAAGTGATGAGTATCTAGCATTCTCAAAAACCATTTTTAAAACTCTTGTTTGCCATTTCTAGAGATGGAAAAATTAGTTCATTCATGATGCATAATGTATCTTTAGATAGTAGACATTGAACTGTAATATAAGCAGTTGTGCATTAGGGGGGCATGTGAGACGACGTCCATGGTTGTTTTCTATTATGAACAGCCTCATTAATATCGAATCATCGAGTTTTCTTTTGTTAATGTTTGTTTTATAAAGATTGTGTTTTGTTAATATGATTATAACATACATATTTACAAGGATTGCCTTTGTTTTTAATTTGCATATTTGTATCGATTGTGTATCTACAAACAATAATTGCAGTTATCATAAACCACCTTAATTAAATAACTGCAACTACGCGAAATTTTTCTTATATTAATTGTCCCAGTCAGTACTCGTTCTTTTCATCATGGAAAAGTAATAATATTTAACGAAAAACTTATCTACACAACACTCTTAAAATATTACACATATTACCACTAAGCATTGACGTAAAATACACTTAAATATTGAAAAACAAATATTTGCCACTGTACATAACATAAGTTTAACACATATCAACCCATTGGTTAGATCATCATTTTCTTATACGTGAAAAACCCTTTGTTAGAAAATTCATAATGTCGTGTGCTAACAACTTAAAGTTCTTGTTTTAGGGCGGGGCAAATGGAAAACATCATACGCATTTCAAAATTGTTGGCATACATATGTTTATATCATTTGTACAAACAAAGTATAATGTACACATAATAAAATACATCTACAAAACAAATGAACTACGTATAACTTTAATGTACTAGTCTCTGTGTTTACCGTTAGTTAACTTCCTTCGGCTAGGATTAGATCGTTTAGCACGACATTATTGTTGTGCTTGTGGTATTTCTAGTTTCAACTTTTCGGCATTTTCTAGTTGGGTGGTTCCAATATTCCTACTTGAATAATGTTGAATCACCCTTAGGATATGTTGCCTGCTTTTTAAATGTGTCTTTTGACGTCTAATCTGTGATACGCAGGCTTCATAACCTCTGATCCCCTTTCAAAATTCCATTTTATTTAGTTCCGCCCATTGTTTTCTCGTTCAGGGCACACGCTTTTTATTACTTGGGGACCATACGCCGCTTTTCATTGAATGGCACGGAAGTGTCACATTGAAGGTTCCATGATAACCGCCGTATGAACACATCTGCGGATGTTTGTTAATTCAAAATTTACTATTTCATGTGTAAATGTTGAATTCTGCTTAAGCCGGTGCTAGGGGGCGTGGACGGTAACTTGCACTTTCCAGTACCGTCCATGAACAGGCTAAATTAAACCGAGCCTGCAACATTTATAATTTTGCCGTGTTGAGCTTTCTTGAGGGATTCTGTATTTATCTATTTTATCATTTTAATAATTGATTTTTAACTCATGAAATATAAGACTGAAACGAACCTTAGATATACCCAAAAACATTATTACGGTCAAACGTCACAGTTGTATTTTTCAAGCGCATCAGCGTCGGAGTACGTTCACATCATGCATTTTCTTCCACCCCGCTAACGATTTGTGTCATTTTGACAGATTGGTTCAGTTTTCTGGAAAAACGTCTATGCCAATCTAAAAGCTTGGTTTGACTAAAAAGTTGTTTGGGGTTCCTTTTAACATATCAAATGTTAAAGGAGATTGTCCGAATGATTGACAAATGTGTGTTATAACGCTGTTTTCCGGACGCTTTTGCGATGCTGTTTTCAAATAAATAAACGTTCCACCTACAAAGCATCATAGGTTGATTTCACAAATTACGCGAAATTTAAGTATGTATGGCATGTTCTGGTTTTACAACAAGTAGCCGCGAATTATGGACAAGATCATTATTTGTAACATGTATTTTAGTGTGTATTTTAAAATATCAACGTACATATACAACGTCTTGTTTTTATTATTAGCTGCGGCGCAGTGGCATTACCGTGTTTATTTTACACGGACTGGAAGGGTAATCGGCGACATTAAATAAGTAATATTGTAAAGTCGAGTAAGACTTTACAATGGACGGTAACGGGACGGTAAATGGACGGTACAATGGGCGTGGACGGTAACTTGCACTTTCCAGTACCGTCCATGAACAGGCTCAATCAAACCGAGCCTGCAACATTTTACAATTTTGCCGTGTTGGGCTTTTTTTAGGGATTCTGTTTTTCTCTATTTAATTAAAACATTTAACTGTATACATATATAAAGTTAATGAAGATAACACGAAATTTATCAGATAAGACAAATAAACAAACTCTGGATCTTTTGCAAATTACTTGAACTTCACCATTTCATTGTTGTATTGTCTACGTGAGAAATAAGACCAGAAGCAATCATCTAAGCAATAGCTCAACTTCTTTTGTTTAGAACAAAAAAGTACATTGCACTCATCACCAATTGACTGCGTGGCATTTGTGTACGACGATGTAATGAATCGAAACTACGAATTTCCTGTAAAATACAATTATCTTGATGCATTTCTTAGTTTCCTATTGGTCTTATTCCAATGCAAAGTTTCCAGTATAATAGATCGGAGTCTCCTTTATTTTATATGAAACCTGGCGCTAGCCTTAAAAGTATGTTCACAACATATTTGCTTGCTTTGCACGGGTGTTAGTCGGCGCAGTGATTTGATGTTTTGGTATACTAACTC